AAAGAACTGACTGTAGAGAAAGTTTAAAATAGTCATCTCATAGAGGGATAGCAGGGAAATATTTTGGGTGTGAGAGAGAGAGAGAGAGAGAGAATTTTACCTTGATTTTAATTCTAAAAGGTGTTATTCTAGATTTAGTTATAAATGAATTTAACAAAATATACGTAACAATTGCTTCGTTATAAAGTTTTGACGAAATATGTATTATAAGCAATAGAAATGTGGCATATATAAAACAAATATATAACGTTATTATTTTCAAAATAAATGTATTATGACTATATATTGTAAGATGTATCAACGAACAAATTATTGTGCTAATCGTAAACCACAAACCGGCTAAATACTTAGCCCAATAACATTTGTTATAGTTGGCAATCTCTACGTATATTGAATCTAACATGCTCAACATGTTACTGGTAAAACCATATTTCATAATATCTGAATTAATAGTTTTAATCTTGATCAACAGATAATTTGAAATCATAGTGTAATACACAGATTGATATACAAGAATGTTAGAACTGTAATAGATCCATATGCAAGTATGCACAGAATGTGGTAGTATAATTAGCCATTTGTACCATGGACCTTTAAACACAACAAATGATATTATTGGATATATAAACGCCACGATAGCCGCTAATATGACAACCCATTTGGATATAATCAATAGCCGGCGGCAGTTATGGCATAGCTTTTGAATCACATCTTTATCAGTAATGCCAATACAAATGGGCGCCAATCGACCGGCGATTACATTCAAAACACGTAAATCACCCGAATTGATGCCATGTCTATCATTATAATAATTAATTAATTGCGAATACATAACAAATAATGTAATACTAATCATCGGGATAGTTGCAGTGATCTTAGTGGTGGTAAAATGATCCATATTACCAATATACAATTGATATATATCGGCTAAATTTGTCATATAATAGTAAGTATATATACACAATAAACACTTGCATAACATTGAAAACATTATGATAAAAATTAGCACAGGATGATGCAGTAGTGATCTTGATTTAATTTCATTCAAATCGGGGTTAAATAGCGATAACCCGATTCGGTAGAGATGAGTGTCGGCCGCACTGACCACCCATTCACGGGGTATGGGAGCGGTTGGCGACCATTTATTTACGCCGTTTACTGTTAAGCCATATAAATGTTGGCCAATCATTGTATTAATGTTATGTGTTATACAATATAAAGGAATTATTAAAATATTTAATAATATTTAAACTTTTTTGGATATGAGTATTAAATAAGCACTTTAATTATAATGGCACTTTTAATTATAGCACTTTAAATATTATTATATATTTATTAACACTAATTAAAGGTATATTAAGTTAATAACTATTAAATAAAATGTCAAAAGTATTAATCGACTTATGTTTTGAAAATTAAGTAAATATACTATATATGACAAACGCAAAACATTTTTACAACGAACAAAATTAAAATTATCAAGGGTCGTGATAAAAATTACAAATGCAATTTAAAAATTGTACTCACTGCTAAGATTACTAACAAACAATATCTGACCGCGAGATAATTGTATTTAATTCTGATAGTAGTTTAGGGCACTAGACATAGGTTAGTAACATTTTCTTTAAACGAATGGCCGTAAGCTGACCTACGATAGTCGCCCGACCATTTTATTTATGCATATTTTAGCTAATATTAAAAATATTGTTTTAATAATAAGCACTCACGATATATGTATAGATGTTACACAGAGATACTTATAATTACAATTTTCTAGGATTAATTTAATGTGTATTTTAATTTATCTATACTTTGTCTCAACCAATAATATAATGAGGATACGTTTTTTATGTATCTAAATAATCAATATAATTTAACATAAAAATATATGTTAATTTTTTTGTTAGCAACTTTGTTATTCACATTATATTAAGGATTGATTTATTTTATTATTAAATGAATAATACTTTACAGAATAATTCAATATGAATAATGAGATGCATTAATATTGAGATATATTTTATGGCATTTTTAATTCACGGTAATTTATTAACATGAATACATCATGTAACTTAATTAATGTTGACTATTAATAAATGACATAATTTTATGACTAAAAACAAAACAACAACATAAAACATAAAACAATAAATTATATGTTCATTGTTCGTACATACACAAATAATATAATAATCATTTTTAATTTTCTTTTGGTTAATGCATTATAATAATTAAATTGTTTGGTAAAAACCTAAAATGTTATGGTATATTTAAATTTGCTACAAAATGATATAGAATAATAATCTGATTATGAGACCTAAAAAGTAACGCTTCAGGACTGTAATCTAAATATAGATATTAAGAAAATATAAATGTCATAAACATTAAAAATAATTTTGGATTATAAAATCAAAAAAATAATTAATAATAATTATTTAACATATATCAATTTTATGAATCTACATAATCATATTTAATTTTACCGCAAAATGTTTGACACAAATATAAGCAAATGGACCTTGTTATTTTATTTTATTCAAACTATAATATAACAAAGAAAATTGGTTTAAATAATAAAATTACCTTGGTATGCCATTAGCATGGTATATAATGGCGTATAATTAAATGTTAAATCTATGAAAACTGTACGCTACTTAACACGCTGAAATATGCGTACGGCTTGATTGCGTGGTCGCACTTCACTCGCGGACACAAGAAACCGTAAATATCTAGATCTATCCGCGGAATCACTTCCAGTATAAATATATGGAGTCAATTGTCCCGGTGTGATTACAAGATGCTCAACCTGAGTGACATTATAGCCGCCGTTGACTTCAGACAATCTAGGTGCGTTGCCATCTTGAATTCCCGCACCAAACTTTAAGCTATCACCGCCTTCAACCCGGAAAAATTGCCCAGCATAATTAACACTCACATCTTGCCACGTGTATTTTGGCCATAATATTTTGGGATTTGTACCATTTGGCAATTGTACGTATATAAAGCCTACGGGAAATTCTACCTTGTTCTGTTCCATCTTGGTGATTTTATCTGTATTTTTATCCAATAAACGACGAAGGTCACGTATAATACGTTCCGTACGTTGACCCGACCACATCACCACACGTTTACATAAATAAGCATTTTTCTTATTACATGGTACATCTTGCCATTTGCCCAATGTACCTTGGTCAACTAGTATTTCGACACAATTGCTATCATTAAGCGGTCGACCGGTAAACCAGTTCTCGTATTCACCGCTACTCCTATCGGACCAAACGATGTGCTTGTTTTTGATGCTGGCGTCCAGCCATACATTTTCAACCATCTTGTATTTTGTAATCAATTGATTCAGGAATTCCTGTTCACCAGGGGTGTTTATTGTGGGCAGCGATGAATCTTGTTGTTTTAGACAGGCGGCCACCACAGTCTGATAGTCGTCCAAACCAGCAGGGTAATATTTATAGCATATATCGTAGTAGTCGTCGTGAAATAAGTCCCAATCATCACCACAGGCTCCTTCACAGTTAATGAGCTGAGCTGTATATGCATTGAATTAATTATTGTTTATTATAATTTTATAATTTTAATTTATATTTTAATTTTAATTTAATTATAATTTTTCAAGTTGCATTGGTTATAATAAATATATAAGCATTAGGTAACTTAAATTTTATGTTTTATTAGTAATTTTATTTTGACAAAATATTATTTTAGTTGATTTATAAATACCTGTTAAGCATAAGATTAATACGACTAAATATAGCATATTGATTATTTAGTTCAGAATATAACTATGTAAAAATAAACTAATGAAGTTAAATTTATTGTGTTTATCACATTTAATTTATTCTTTTTATACTAAAATTTTATTATAACATATTAGTATTTTTACAGAAAGTAATCAAATGACATTTACATCCTAAAATTGACAAGTCCATTTATGTTAACAATATTCGAATAGATTATTATGATTGATATTGGTTTTATACATGTAGGTGAAATTGTTATATAGGTGAAATTATAAGTGAAATTCATAGTTTATCTTTATTTAGAATATCAGAATTAGACAATATAAAAGGTGTAAAAATAAACCCGATAATTCTTATCATTAATACATGTTACAAATTATTTTTAAAGTTTTAATTACTATTTGTGTTAATTGTTTAGTAAATTACCAATCATTATAAATTAATGGGATTATGTAACTTGATCTATTATTAATAATTAAATCAGTAGTTTTAATAATTAAAATGATTTAAGTTAATTAAATAATTTTATCTTAACCAGATTATTTGTTTAATTTATTTAAATGACAATATAATCCACATTAATCCACAGATAGCTGTCGAGTGGTTTGTTTACTACATGTTTTAATATTATATTCAATAAGTTATGATTGATATATAAATAGAAAAAGACAAACAAATAGAACATATACAGGTAAAGTGATTTAGAATTAATTTTAAAAAACTATGTAAATGTGAAATTGTTAAAATTTAAAATTCCCAATAACAACCAATTTATTTCATTCTAGTGTTTAGGAGTTAAGCATCAATAAATCGTATGTACATTAATGCACAAAATAAAATAATCTTGAATGAGAAAATAAACAATTTAGGTTATTTTAGTTTTAAAATATTATGTATTCAATGCATACTTCATATCCGCGAAAACGGTTTATAATAAATAGTTTCCAACAAAAGAATCCTATTTTGCGTTTCGCTATCCTTTCCGTCAAATTTGATATCTAAATAAACATATAATTAGAGAGAGAGAGAGAGAGAGAG